GCGGGGGGGGGGGGGGGGGAGGGGTCACCTGCATCAAGAACGTGATCACGTCGCCGCTCGCGCCGCAGCCGAAGCAGTGGTAGGACCCCCTGGAGTCGTCCACAGAGAAGGAAGGCGTCCGGTCCTCGTGGAAGGGGCAGCACCCCACCATCCCCCGTCCCGCCGGCTTCATCTCCACGTGCCTTCACGGGTGAAAAACGGGAAGGGAGGTAATAAGCAGGAGTAGTAAGACAACGCGCTTGAGCCGGGATTCGAGGATGCTGGATACGCGTGAACGTGTACTTGCATATCGCACAAACTCAGCCCATGAGATGCAACCCCTGCTGGGCGGAGGCCGTCAGACTGCATGGACAAGGACGCCAACAAGAGGTGCCGCCGAAGAACTATTGGGACGCGGCGGCGGCATGCTTGCGATGACACACACAACCAGCGGTAGAATAGCTTTTCTCCTCTTTGCAACCGGCGGGGCAACTGCAGACGCAACAGAAAAAATGAAGCAGCACAAGCACACGCATGCTACACGCCTCTTTTTCTAGGTCAAATTGAAGGTGTTTGATGTGTGCTGGTGAACACTGAAAGCCACGGCCGTATATGTGGAACCGTTAGCCGGCGAACCGTAGACAGCGTGCCAGCAGCAGACTACACGACACAACAGCAGCCACGTGCACTACAAGCTTTGGGCGTTGTCGTCGTGCGTTGTTGCGTGACCACCAGTCTAACAATGAAGTCAGTCACCTCGCGGTGTGAGCGTCAAACGGCAGGGGTTGGCGCCAACTGACAAACAAGCGGGCGGTGCAAGTGTCTGGGTACAGCAGTACTACAGCACCAGCGCCCCATGTTCTGCTTGCGGCGAACTTTGCCTATTTTGGGGCAGCAGCCCACCACCAAAGCAGCTAACCCAGCAGTCAGCAAGCTCGTTCATAATCCTTGGGGGACTCAGAAAGGTCCCGCACGCCAACATACGCACCACGGTAGTAGTGCCGCCACCCTACACCGCTACACGTACCAGTGGCACACCGAGTCCAACGAAACATGTCCACGACATATGTTTTTCAACAAGACGGGCATGAATCGACGATCGTCTCCAATCGCGGCCTGGATTTACCGTCATGCACATAGGCACCAAACCTCAATCTTTCCCGATAGCAAAGCGCAACCCTTTCCCCGGGTGCCGTCAGGCCTACCCCTAAAACCTGGTGAGCATGAGGGGGGTGAGGCGGGCCCAGCGGGAAAGAAGCGTTACCGTGTGATGGCGTGGTTTCTCACGTGGCGTTAGAACTATGGTACTACAGCAGTAGCATGCGATCGCATTCGTACCTACAATGCTAGCGGTGGTGCGTTTGAAGCGCACCGACGCTGATCTCTGCGCCGCTACGTGCATCACCCCCACACCCAAGCAGCAACCACACCAAAGCCACACCCACTACTCACTGGCCGATGACTTCGGTGATGCTGGTGGAAGCCCGGATAAGATCCAGGGTCTCGTCGGTGATGTGTCTACTGGGACCAAACGGCTTCCGTCCTCCTCCTCCTCCGCCGCCACCCTCCTTTCGCTGCTGCACGCTCCCCCGCGGCTGCCCGGCCGCTAGCTCCACCCTTTGAGGAAGCCTGGACTGCTGAGGACCTCTCCCGCCGCCCGCGGCGGGAGCGGCATCGCCGGGTCGATCGTTACCGGCTGCCGCCGCACTCAACGGCGCCACGGCGCGAGGTCTACTAGGTGGTAGTCGGCGCCGGCGCCGGCCTGTGCACTCTTGGCCGCTGGAAGCTGCGCTTGTTCCGAACCCGCTGCTACTCGTTGGTAGGGCGCACCACGACGACGAGCGGGGTTGCTGCTGCTGCTGCTGCGCGCGGTGCAGCAGTCGACGGGAGGAGCCTGCTGCTGCCGTACGCGGCGGAGGGCCGCACAGGAAGGCCTCGGCTGCCTTCGGGGTCGTCGTCGTCGCGACGAGGGAGGTGGTGGCTGCCGCCGCTGCCGCCGCTGCCGTCGCCAGGCGCAAGGAGCGGCGCACGCCAGTGCGAGCCTCCGGTGCGCTCCTCATTGGAGCCGTGGTGGTTCTTCGCACACAAGGCTACCGCAATTGCTTGCTGCTCGCAGCAAACACATGTCCCCGTTTCGGCCAAGGGGGGCACACAGAGCGGAATATTTCATCTCTTTAGTTCCCCTTCGCGATGCCCCCGGTCAACGGCCCCAACGGCCCGCTGTATCTTTTCTGGCTTGTCGTCCGTCTGGGTGGACTCGAACAGCAGCATCGCGAAAGAAGCATGGGCAACATAGAGAGTGGTCCCGAGGGTTCGCTGGGGGCCGTGGACTCCCTGAAGCATCGATTGCAGTCACTCGAGGAGACCATCCGATCCATCGAGGTAGGTGTATATAGATTAGTCTGGGGAGATGGCTATGCGCGGTGTGTATCCAACTACGGCGCATCACGCACCCCCACTATCCCAACCGAGTACATCAATCAAAGCAACGGAGAGTAGCACCGGCGCGACAACACCCCTGTTGCGGACGCATCTGAGGCGTTGTTGATCAACGAAATAAAGGTTTTACATGTACATTGTTTGACACTATGGACACCCTATAGTCTACACTTGAGTTTCATTCAAACGAAGTTGGAAAGCACTTCAAAATATTGTGCGGCGCACTGCGAGGGCGACTCTCATTGTTTGACACTATGGACACCCTACACTTGAGTTTTCATTCAAACGAGGTTGAAAGCACTTCAGAAATATTGTGCGGTCGCATTGCGAGGGCGACTCCAATCATCCTCCGCAGCCAGCGACGTATGCTCTCAGCCAATCAACTGGCTCAACAGTAGGACACCACCGCGTCGGACGGCCGTGCACGGACGACTGCTGTTGTGTTGGTCGGTTCGGGAAATTCAAAATTTCAGGTCGCTCATCAGGATGCCCAAGGTGACCACTTCCCGGCACCCGGCGCAGCGGATATGTGCCTCTACGGTGCTCGCCTGGTGTGCACGCCTGGCGTACAAGTCCTGACTGGTCCCGTCATCGGCGAAGTTACCGAAAATTCGGCGGTGAGCATTCCATGTGGTTCAATCTTGTAAGATAGTCAGCACCAACTTCCACCTTTCACCTGGTACTCGATAAATAGCAATAAGCTCGTTCCTGCAGAACACCCCCTTTCAAACCCAAGCGACCACCGTCAGCGAATACCCACTCGCACTCCGTGCGTTCATCTCAAGTGTGCCGGTGTTGTACTCACGGTGTTTTTTTCTTCTGCTGCTCATGTCCGCACCGATCGCGCCTTGCACCCGTTGTGAGTTCCCTGAGATTAAAATCGTTAAACCCGCGTCCCTTGCACATTCCGCCAACCACCAAACGCACAGGTCGTCCTTCTGGAGGTGGACATTGCACCCGAGTTAGGGCCAACGTCCCCAGTAACTTGCCACGTGTCCGTATCAGAGGGTGCCTGCCGAGGCGGTCGCGTTGTTCATTCTACAACTCTTACCCTACCGTCCCGCCGACCAAGGGCCTTTCGAATAGGTGGGGGAATAAGCAGCGTCATCGGGCCCGGGCGAGTCTTCACCGTGTGCTTCGGTGGAGTTAGCGCAGAGGATGCCCGTTTTCGCGTTGGAAGGTATCGTGCGAATTGTGATTGCGGGGTAAGCCGCGACGAACATGTAAAATTTGTTCCCTCACTTCGGTGTGTGTGATACGTGTCCTCGTTCCGATATTCTCACGGGTCTATTCATGATGGCTAGAGAGAGTCGTCCTTGACGGACGTTCGCGAGGTGGGACCCTTGTTAAAGGCCACCTCCACACTCTCTCTCACACACACACCTCTAGCCTAAGCCTAGTCACAGGATAAACTAATATTTCCTCGCTGCTGGTCGCGCCTCCGCACGTGACCACGCCGGTATCGTTCCCAGAACTTTCTTCCTCACCCCGAGCGCCTGCATCCCGTCGAACGACAGGTTTAGGACGCCCGGCACCTGCTTCGAGCCTTGTCTTGGAGCGATAGCCGTGAGCGGGGATCGCCCGGACCGACTCGCGCCGGGAGAGCCGTCGCTGTGGCGCGTCCTCCGCGAGCGCGTCGCGGTTCCGAGCATCGTCCCGGGGAACGTTCCAGGTGCTAGCGGTGAAGGGAAAGAAGGGCACCAGCACTACTTTCCAATCGACGTGGTCTTGCATACCGGTGGTCAGGCGTGGATGGCCGACGCCCTCGAGGACGCCTGGGAGCTGCTGAGGAGGCGGGCGATGGAGCCGGTGCTCTGCGCCGACGGCGGGTGGCGGGAGGCGCAGGAAGAGGCAGACGAATGCCTGCGTGAGGTGAGAGCGGGAGAAAAAACCACCAGTGGATGCGACAGAACGAGGACAACTGTTTCGTTTGGTCTGCTGATGATGAGTATAGACTCGCGTGCGATTTTTGTAAGTCTACGGTTGTATGTTTCTTCTCGACCTATCGATCGTTGATGTATCGGAAGAGCGCAAGGAACGCGATCCGCAGAACAAGGGTGGTTGCGTCGTCACAGCGCGTGACGTGCCGATGGAAACAAGCGCACACAAAGACCACCCCAACCCTTTGTCCCCTCTTCAACCCAGGCCATCCGGCGGTCGTGGAACCTCCCGGACAAGCGTGCCGTGCTGTCATCGGTTTCCAACCTCATGGTTTGCGGGGCCGCGGACTTGCACCCCGATTTCGAAGGACATTTGGCACGTGTTTCGTTGAAGTCAGGTGACGGTGTCAACGCGGGAATGGGGAGTACAAGACGGGGAATGAGATCGACTCGGGCGTCCGGAAAAGAAAGGTTGGTGTAGGCAGATGAGACAGCCCAAACAGGCATGTGACAGCCCAAACGGGCAGGTTAACAGTGGGTTACGAAACTTCTGTCCAATTACGTGGAAAAAGGGTTTGGTTGATCGTTTCTTTTCATGCTCTATTTTCGGCGTGTAGCGCGCCCAGCATACGTATGCTATTTTCTGAACAGAACGATAAACCACACGAAGCAACCCAAAAACTACCGAATGCGCTGCGACGGAGGTGAGTTTCTTACGCTACAAGACGCCGGAGAAACATGTGTCCCGCTACGCACCCCATACCATAGTGACCCTCGCCAGCACTCGCTGCCTTCGTCATACCTTGCGAAGCACAAGAGACACCAATCCCTCTGTAAAAAGCTGGTCTTCTACACTCCGTCGCCATCAACTCGGGAAACAAACACATTCTTGGTGCCCTGAAAGCGCAGCTGCCGCACGCTGGAGGAGCTGAGGGTCCCGCGGCTCGAACGACCACCATCCGCGACGAACCGGATTGCTTTCCTTCGTCGTAGGTCAGCGTACTGATTTGTTTTGGCTTGTTCCAATGCTCGCGCGCATCACGTGGCGCGGTGATCGTTCTGCGTTGGACAGGCAAGAAGTCCGGGCCCTTCACGCAGCGGTCCGAGCCTGCCGCCGCGTATTCAGCGAGTACCAAGGCCAGCTCCTGTGGAAGGCGTTGTCGAAGGGAGGGGTGCGGGGGGGGGGGGACATGGAGGACTTGACCCCGGCTTTCGAGGCAGAGGTGATTGTTGTTGTTGGTGGTGGTGGTGGTGCTGTTGTTTGTTCGTGTTGTTGTCGTTGTCGTTGTCGTTGTTGTTGTTGTTGTTGTTGTTGTTGTTGTTGTTGTTGCTGTTGTTATTGCCTCGCTGCATCATGCCTAGCGCTGTCGCCACACGTGAGTCCCGACCACGGATGTAGGATTTCCTTTTCAATGTCGAGGCATGACGTCACTTGTGTGCGGCTCCCTGATATTCTAAAAGTCGACCACATTTAAAACAGAGGGAATCAAAGACAGATGAGAAAACCCTGCGCTGGTCTGTGGTGGGGGCACTCATACAATGCTAACCTTTGTTAGATACGCTCTCGAACCACTATTTTCACATGCTGTTTCCGTTGATGGAAGACTATCGTTGTGTGGGAGAGACCAAAATCGTGGTTTTCGCATATTTGTCAGACGACGGACGAAGGAGACCATTCATCGACGAAACGAGCATATGCAGCCAACAAAAATCCGTCTTCTGTGGTGCACCGAAGGGGCTTCCGACTTCCATTGCAACCCCATCCCTGGTTGCACCTGCCCGAGCGGGGATCGGAGTAGATTCGATCAGGATATATATATCAGGGTATCGACACAACGATCTGCTCAGCGTAAGACCGTGCCGTGCCCCGGGGGTGCTGTTTTCGTAGCCGATGTGTTCCCTCGAGTAGCACGCGGTCACTATTGGTCCTACAGAAAACAAGCTGCCAAGATCTTTGTTGAGCGCGTTCTGCAGGAGTACCGCGTGGCGCGACAGTCGCGCTCCTCGCGGGTGCGGTGTTAAGTGGAACCTACGGTCAATGGGGCTGAACAAACAAGGACTTTCCCACCGCAGCAACACGTCAAAACTTAGAGATGGGACGAACGTGTCGCTACAAGCTGCATGACCGATGATGCTCCGTGGCGCTCGATCAATGTCTGAGGCCGGCAACGAACAAGATCGCCCTCACCCCCTCCTCCTTGCGCATTCACGCTCAAACGTGCATTTCCTTGGAATATGTCGGCTGATGCTTGCCCTTATCGGTCGCCGCTGCCACCTCAGGAGAAAGGCGTGGAAGAGGCCCTCGCCGAGACTCGTCGGGTCGAGCGAGACGAGGCCGTAAAGCAGAAGAAGGTGAAGAGGGCGCGTTTCCTCCCAGAAAAACGCCCCGTAAGCTTGCCAAGCAGCCCCACGCAGCCCTACCTCCTAAACCTAGAGTCAGGGAAACACTCTCCGCGCGCCTCTTTTGTTTGTACTCCCTCCTGCCCGCCTTCCTTGGTCCATAGTTGGAGCGAGAAGAAAACATGGACATCGATGCCAAACTCGGAGAAGCACGGCCAATACGCTGAACTGTTATCCTGAACGTGGTAGTTTGTGCGAGGAACAAGACACCAGAGTCGGCCACACCATCAATTTAGCACCAACCGGCCGCTCCTCCTCCTCCTGGCATCAGGTGGCGATGGCAGAGGAGGCTCTTCGCCGAGCCAAGGCGGCGGGTAGCCTCCCCACCGAGGGCGGCCTGCGCGCCGCGGAGGAGAGGATCGACAAGATACGCAAGCAAGCCAAGGCGGCCAGGGCTGCACGAATTGCCCTGGCCAAGCGCGAGGTCCCAGCTGTGGCGGCGGCGGCGGCGACGCGGGCGTCTCAGGTACGGGCACGGAGAGTGACTGGCCGCCTCTGGTTGGGCGCGTGATTCTGTGAAAGGACTGTACGTGACCGGAGCACGACGGCAGAACAAGCAACGAGGAAACAGTATCCGCACAACTAGGAGAGGAAACGAGCCCCTGTCTCCCGACACGGAGACTTCACACAACGGATCATGTAGTCGGCTACGTACCCGCCCATGTTACGATCCCTTCTAAGCTGAATAGCAAAATCCAGGGCTCATGCCCAGCACTTTGGCGGAGGTTTTGAAGCACGAACCCGCCGCCATAGAATTCAACTTACGTCGTTCCACGCTCTGTACCATGTAGTGCTATTGTCCAAGCCACCCATTTTCTCGGAACGAACCAGGTTACGAATACATACATACATATTTTGTCCCAAAAATGAAAGCCAGAAAGCCTTGAAAAAATCTAGATTAACTGCTGCACCGACAGCTCGGGAGATGCACCGAGTTTCTTACTTTTCGTATGTTAGAACTCAAGGTAGTCATTCTTCAAAATATGTTATATTATGACGTTGCGGTTGCGTTATGTGCCTTTTCCAACCACGAAACCGGCGGGGTTTTGCTTCACGTTTCTCCGTGCTCATAGGGAGGGTTTCTCAACCTGGGTGGGTCGATTGGCCTCGTCCTTCTCGACACCGTGTGGTCGAGGGTGACTTGGGACGGCAAGATCCACCAAGCAGGGGAGAACTCCCCGCACGGCGTGGACGGGGGCGGCACGGCAGCGGCACCGGAGGCGCCGCCGTTGCTGTCCCCCGGTGCATGGGAGGCTCTTGAGCTCGAGCTGGGCAGGGACTCTGAGCTAAGGCTCCTGATTGTCGTCATGCGAGTGAGTCTCGCCGGCAATGTGGGGGAAATTGCGGGATGCAGGGGGGAGGGAAGGAGCTTGATTTTGGAATGGATCAGTTGGTATGGGCAGAAGTTGACGAGTATCTCGTGGGTGCCTACATAGAGCGCCGCTAGCCGGCTGGGCAATGGCCACACACCCTTTGCTACGTCCTACTGCGGCAGGAACCGAATGCCAGAAATGTTCCTGAACGCGGCGCTCCTGCCTGCCGATCAGTGCAACAGCGGCCGGGAGGTCCTGCATAAACTAATGAGGCAACAGGGGGCGGTTATTTCAACACGAGGAAAAGGGGGACCCGACGCTGAATTCGAAACACACCTCACCTACAAAGTCCGAAAGTTTGGAGGATACTGCGATATAGTACTATGTTGCTCTCATCACAACTAGCTGGTGCTCTGCAACCGGCGCGCGCGGAGAGTCTGGGATCGTCTGCAAAGGCGCATTTCCCTCAAGACTCTCATTCGCACTTATTTCTACCCGCCGACGGTTTTTTCGTCCACGGCGCGCAAAGATTGACATACATGCACCTTGCCTCCTCGCCGCCTCTGATTCCTCGCCGCATCAATTGCTCAACCAACAACGCATACAATGAAGCACGCACTAGCGGGAGGCACGCCGCATACCACGGCACGCTTCCCCTCGGCATCCAGCGGCAACGACCAGGTGTCTGGCAACGCCAAAGCTGACGGCAGCGGCAGAAGTAATCTCGACGGTAATCCGCCGTCGCGGTCAAACTCGGCCTCGATCTCGGCCTCGGATGTTGCCGATGACACCGGCAGCGGTGGGCGGGACGAGAGGGACCGCCTCTTGGAGCGCCTCTTCGCGTGGAAAGCCGGGGAGGCGTGGAGGGAAGTGGTGCTGGTCTGCGGCGCGGCGGAGGGGCGAGGCGGGCGGGGCGGGCTGCGCTCTGCGTGCGAATTGGAGGTGAGAAAAATATCAATAGAAAGAGGACGCCCTCTCTGACTTGGATTGGACAGCTCGGTGTTAGAAAGAATACTGCGCCGTACGATCCATCCTCCGGTACAGTATCCATCAATACACACCCGACTGCCCGCCGCACGAAAATGAGGACACCGTCGTGTGGCAACCCCAATCCCTAAAACTCCAGGTGCCCCCCACCCGGCCTCCAACAATCTCTCCTTGTTCCAGGTTTTGGACTCGAAGCACCCGGGGTGTACCATCCGCCAGGTCGTCGCCGGACCCATCACGGACACTCCCGGTGCGCCGCCGAGGGTGACGCCCGCCACCCCGGATCCAACAAACGGCCGTCGGGGGTCCCGCGCCCCCCCCGAAGCCACCAGCGTCGGCGGCGGCCGATTCTCTTACCGATGGAGCCACCCCGGTTCCGCCAGCGGTGGATCGGCTGCCGGCGACGGCAACGACGACTCGGGGCCCAAGGGCACGGCTCTCTCCTCCTCCTCCTCCTCCTCCTCCTCCTCCTCCTCCGACAAGGTCAACGCCGTCACCGCCGGCTCGTTCGGGGACGACGTCAGCGCGATCACGACCGCACCCGGAGCGGGGTCGGCGCGCCCGTCCTCCCGACAGAGCAAGCTCGACGACGAAGGCCCAGTGTTGCCGCAAGCGAAGGCGGTGGCCGCAGCAGCACCGGGCTGGGACGACGACGCCGGCGGGGCCAGCGGCACCCCCGACAGCCGGCAGTCCTCGCGGCCGGCGACAGCGGCAGACGCCGACGGAACGGCGCCACGGCAATCGACGACGACGACGACCGCGGACGAACGGCAGCGACGATCCGCGGCGGCGCCCGTGTCCGCGCACGGGGAGCGGAGTTTTATCGAGGCTTTCCTCGACGGGGGCCACTCGCCTTCCACCGCCGTCGCGGCCGGGATGGACCCGGCGGCGAGCGCGCGGGGGGTCGCGGCGTCCGTGACGGCGAGGGCGGTGACGGTTACGTTTGTCGGCGCGGCGGTGGTGCTGGGGCCCGTGGTGGGCAGGGTGACGCAGCGGTCCGCGGTGGTTCTCGTGGAGGTCGGGAGCACGGCGGCGGTGGGGTGCGTGCTGACCGACGGGGCGACGGGGTGGCAGCACAAGCAGGTAAAATGGGGAGGATACCTGAGGAAGAATAGGAGTGCTGCATCCCTTGCGACACCTACGCAGTTGTTCGTGGTTCTCGCAAGCCTAAATTACGTCCGAATCCAACATCTTGTGTGTAGTTCGATCTGGCCAATGCAAAAGTATGGAATTTAGCACGCCAGGACCTATGATGAGACCTCGCGATATGTTGGTAACGAAAGATTTGGTGATATTATTATGGAAGAGCTCTACGTTTGACAATGACCGAACTCTCCGATCGTTTTCTCCACTCGTATGCCATACCCGTGCAATTGAAACCGGCACCACACCTTGCGCACGTAAGGGTTGCCACTGAGCAACACCCTCCCTCTCGACGTCCCAGGACAAGCACACAAAAATACGTAAACGTAGCCCCTCTTAATTCGCGTGGTCATTGTCCCAGGACACACCTCGTTACATTTTTCGGAGATGTCACCACTTTGTGCCGTGAGGTTTAGCTCTGTTCCTAGGCGCTAAACAGGGGAGCGTGTAACATCCCTTCACTACGCCGCGAACGCGACCCCTACCGCCGCACCCCGCCTCGCCCCTCCCCATCCAGGTGCACCTCCTCTACCCAAGGCAACCGCACGCGTTCTTCTTCGACACGCTGGAAGAGAGCCGGCACTACAGCATATTTCTCGAAGGGGTGGACAACGGCGACGCACGCACGGGGGCTTTCACAACGCTCAAGGTGACGGGCGGCGCGAGTCCCCTCTGCGTGCACTCGCAGCTTTGAACAACGCGGTACCATGACTGTTCCCTGCCGATTTCGTGTTCCTTGAAGGAAATCGCGTCGCGAGGCACCCCTGAGTTGTAAGATGCAGTCATTTACAGCTTCGAACTCTGTAGTACTCCCGCATACCCTTCCTTCGCTCTCTCGGTCCTGTTCCTTGCTCGCTCGACGTCTTTCTCTACCCCGACCACCCGCATCACTGTTTCCGCGTACCTCCGCGCCCCCCTGTACCCCGCGCTCGCTGTGTTCCAGGCATGGCCGGACCGTCGGGAGCCTCCCGCCCTCCGAGCTGCCGTACGCCTGTCCGGCAACGGCGGCGACGACGACGACGACTACGAGCAATCTCAATCATGCGACGTGCGCCTCCTCTTCGTCAGCGGGACGGGGCTCGCCAGCGCCGCACGGGGGCAACTCCGAGACGAGGGCGACGGTGGTGCTAGCACCGCCACCGCCGGCGAGGCGACGGCGGCGGACATGTGGGGCGTGTTGGGGCGGGAGCTGTGGAGGCCGTGGCCGCAGGCGGACGTCGTCGTGCACACGGGCTCCCAGGTGAAAGATTCGATTTATATTGGCGGGCGCTCTTTTCTCCCTCAAGGAACGAGAACGGCGGACTGTGGTGGCGGTGGTGCTGAGGGTGGTAGTCGTACGCCAGGAGGCGGGTCCCGCTGGTGTAGATCTAAACGGAGGAACGGTAGGTGTGCTGTTGGGCGAGGAACGGTCCGAGCTCTGTGTTGTATCGCCTCGACTGCTGTGCCAAGCAGGGTGCTCAGAATCCAGCCCAAAACAACAGAACACTACGAACGATTCTTGTAGACCGCGCACTCCACCGCGGCAAAGACAACCTGAAGCCTAAAATAGGCGCATTCTGAAGAAAACCACGGGCACTACCGTATATGACACAAGATAACACACCTACATAAGAAAGCACACCCCCCACAGAATACGACACCCCGGTGATAGTTTCGGGCGCTTCTGACAAACCATCGATTTATCACCGGGGGTACATAAGATAACACACCCCGGTGATATTTTTAGGTACGCCGCATATAGTCACGGGGCCCCTCCTTCTTTATCACCGGGGTGACAGCATCTGCCCTGGGCAGTCACACACACAACCACGTCAGCTATGTGCGGGGAAACACCCCGCATGGAGACCCCCAACAACATGAACGTGCAGGCAGAGCAGAATGCAGCCGCAAGTACCAAGTAAACGTTTTTGTGAGGGGGGCAGGAAGGATGGCGCACGCAGTCTGTGGCCGCCGCCAATCATCGTATCGGTCGAGGTACCTTCGATTTTTAATTTTTTCTTGCTCGATTCAAGCCCGTATTTTGTTTCAAACTTTTTTTGGCGATGAGAGGGTTGAGTTATCGCCGAGGTCATGTGCTCAGGAGTTTCGTCACCTCGGTTGAGCCCCTTTGTTTTTCCACGCCCCTTTAGGTAGGTCCCTACACTGCACGTGTACGTGCTGGCATGGCTATCACACCCCCTTTTATCGCACCCCCTCATTTATCACACCCCAAAGCACACGCTGTGACTGTTCGGACGTGCTATCAAACCCCCTTTTATCACACACCCTCATTTACCACACCCCCAAACGCACGCTGTGGGTGTTCGGACGCGCTATCACACCCCCTGTGTTATCACACCCCCTTAGGGGCCCCTGCGAGCTGCACTTTATCACCCGGGGTACACAAGATAACACACCCCCCACAGGATACCACACCCGGTGATAATATTTTCAAACTCCAAAATGTTATCACCGGGGTGTGTTTTCTTGTGTCATGTACGGTATGCACGGCGTCACTCCCCCGTAGATGTTTCCTTCGACAGAGACCTAAATGAAGCCTTTCGCTCATGAACGACAGAACTATTTCAACGGAAATAGAACCGCTCCCTGCCACTCTCCGGTTCACGCGCATTAGGTGGACCTTGAGGTCGCCGTGATGGAGGCGTTGCCTATCCTGTCTGCCGCGGAAGCGGAGGAAGAGGGTTCGGAGGAACGCGAGCAAGCCGAAGAGATGGCCATGGAGCGGGTGGGATGCGATATTCGAAATGTTGGTTGTTGTTCTTGTTTGGCTACCCGTAACAATAACATGTAGAATCTCCTAAAGGATAACCCTCGCGGAGAGGCGGGGAGAGGTGCTTAACGTGTCGCAAGCATTTGCCGTTCTATGGTCCTGGAGGTGATAGGAACTGCGACCCCTGTTTTTCCGCCCGTGCACCACCGTCTCATGCGCCTGATAATCTGGACGCATCTCCACACCCCCTGCGTCCACACTTGTTCATTGGCATACGGAGCGAACTGTCCAGTTTAGCCCTAAAGGAGAACACCCAGCCGACAGCAAACGTTGGTTCTTTCGCCATGCCTACCAACGGGCGCTATTTAGTGTCAACAAACACGAGCTCCATCCCCCCACCATCATGACCAACCTCACGCCTCCTCCGCCTCCCGCTACAAATCCAGATCCGCGACGCCTACCGGTTCCAGTGGAGCCTCCCGGGCGCGAGGGTGTGTCTCTCTTGCGGCAGCCACCTCATGGTGAGGGGCGAGGCAGACCTAGCTCTTCCTCAGCTCGACGGCTCTTCACGCCGATCCTCGTCCTCGACTACCTCTAGCGCGCCCGGTGGCGTTGGGGTAAGCGCTGGCCGCCGCCGTCGGGGCGGCGGCGGAGGCGGCGGCGAGACTCTGGCAGCAGGAAAGGGAGGGCTCCTTGGTCTGCAAGTGAGCGCATACGCGCGGATTACGCTCGCTCGCTTGGCTTCACAGGTGACGAGACTTACGGGGCCCATGGTGGGGAGTGGCTGGTATGCCATAGCAATGTCCCACAGCAACAAAGTTGTGGTAGTGATTATTTTTTTTTGTTTTGGGAGCAATATCGAGGCTCTTTTCGGGATTTCCAAGTGGCGGGGCGTCTTGCATGGTGGTCGCAACCCTTTGTGTTCTTGCACCAGACATGTCAGAGCCTCCGAGACTGCCCGACTGAAGGTACTGCTGTATCCGTGACTACAAACCTTTGCGAGTATTCGGGGCTGAACGACCCCGGTTCTTTGCTTTTCTCTGTTCCCCGCTCAAAAAGAACCCTCAAGCGCCCACAAAGATCTACCCCGCACGCTGATTCCGAGCTTTTTTTTAACGCGTGAGAACCTCGAAAGGCGTTCGACGACTACCAGCGGCAGCTGTGGGATCCCCTGTCCGTGCCCATGGGCCTCGACATGAACGACGTGGGCTATGCTCGCGGGGGGCCAGGTATCGACAGCGTAGGGTCGGGCGACGGGTTCTTCCGAGATGCCGCGAGTGTGGGGGGCGAAGGAGAGTGGCACTTTCACGTGTACGGGGAAACGGTCGGTCTTTTCGCGCTGGACGTTCGCGAGGGAAGCGCGGGGTTGCAGGTGTGATATAACAAGCAGAGGCAGGGTTCGCTACGGAACGATGGGTGCGTTCATCACTGCTGAGCTTAAAAAGTCCGGGCTTGGTTTGTGGGGATCACCGCCGAGGTCGCAACCCAAAAAAGCTGCCGGCAATCTCCTGAAACCCGTTACCTCACGATTGTAATCTAACCACAATCACGAGGAGTTTCGAGGAAAACGCGGGATCAGCGGGAGGCTTGACCGGTGGATTTTTTTACCTG